AACTTTTTAGAGGGAAACGAACTTTCGATTTTGTTCACATTTAGTCACTAAACTTTTTTTCGTTATCTAATTGCCACTAAACTATTGAAACTGTTCACATTTTACCCTTATGACCGGTAACAGCCGGTCATAAGGGTAAAATGTGAACAGTTCCAATAGTTCAATGACAAATAGATAACGATAAAAAGTTTAGTGACTAAATGTGAACAAAGTCGAAAGTTCGTTACCCTTTCAAGTCATTATCCCAATATATAAAGTCAAGAAACAACACTAGGTCACATACTATCAAGAAAACAATACGTAATAAAGAACTTTGTATATGATTTTAATAAACATCAAAATATTATCTAATTTAATTTTTAAATATGGTAATAGGTTTTTTAAGAATTTGATGAAAATATGTTCGTTTTTTATGGTTCTTCCTTAATCCTTTAACCTTAGAATTAAGGAAAAACCATAAAAAAACGAACATATTTTCATCAAATTCTTAAAAAACCTATTATATTATTATTTTTTTGTATGTTAAAACTTTTATATTTGTGAAATTGTCTAATTTAAGGCTTTGAGATCGACAAATCTTAGATAGCCATAAATGCTAGATAATCAACTCTTAAGGGTTTGTTGGTTACAATCCATTATATTAAAAACTTTCAAAAAAATATAAGAGTTTAAATACACTAAAACAAATAATATAATGATTTTTTTAATGTTTGTATGAAAATATGTTGGTTTTATGATCCAAAAAGCTTTAAATAAGATTTTTAGAAAACAAAAAGGTTTTTAATGTACTAAACAATAATATACAATAATATAATGGTTTTTTAAGATTCGGATAGAGATATGTTGGATTTTTTTTGAGATTTTCATATGAATTAAAAAAAGTTCACTTATTCTTTTTATTGATGATGGTGTCCAACATATAATCAAACACATTCATGAGATCTTAGTGAATCAAAAATTTTTTTCCCTCTTTTTGTTCTATCATCAAAATCCATGATTTTAAGACTTCTGATGAATATTTTCTTTCTTACCAAAGATAAATAAATAAAAATTCCATTTCGTGGGTCCTACCCTAATTCTTTTCATGACACAAAAACCATTACTTAGGTGCTGTTTGTTTTTTCTGAGGTAATATGTCTGCAGTCTGCGGACCAAATCTGTAGACCTCTGTAGCAGAAGAGGTGGACCAAACGTCTGCAGTCTGAAAAAAGAAGACTGTTTGTTTTTTTAACATCTGCAGACTACAAAAATAAACTAAAATCTAAATAACCTTATTTTTTTAAACTACAAAGTGATTTTTTAATATATTTATGACTTTTTTATAAATAATTAACAAATTTAAATCAACTTTTATATATTATTGTATAAAAAATGAAAATAAAAATGGTACAAATTAACGTATATATTTGATAAAAACCAACAATTTTGGTCGCAAAGATATGCCTAAACATTGTAATTATGAATTAAAGAATTTGATATATAAATGAATGGAAATAAACTTCGATTTTTTCAATTAAATCAATTAAAAACGTGTCATAAATATTTTTTTCTAAGAAATTGACGATGTTTTATTAAATAATGTTTTATAAAATTTGGCACAAAAAATATAAGAATATATTATTATTTTTTTCATATTTATATAAACAATTTCAACTACCATTATTGTAAAAAACTTTTATTTATAAATTTATCAAAAATATCATGTTTGTGTCGTCGAACTTTTTTTTTTAAGTATTGTAACTTTTTTTTTCAAATTTTTTATCACTAATAAAGTGGGAATAAATATAAATTCAAAAAAACTAAAAAAATAAATAAAGTATATGTGTTTTTTTAGGCTAGAAGATGTCTGAAGATGTTAGAAGACTCTAGTCCACATCTGCGTCAAGAAGAGGGCGCACAGACATTTTTAGGTCTGCAGTATTCAAAAAAACAAACAGTCTACGAATGCTAATGTCTGTACGTGGTCTGCGTCGCGCAGACAGAAGAGGCCAGGAAGATCTGCGGACAAAAAACAAACACCACCTTAATATCACATATTCATCTATTCCAAGAGTAAGCAACGACCATGAAAGAAAAAAAAAGCCAGAGTGTCTCAAACTTTACATTCAAATAGTGTTTCATTCACTAAATTCAACAAAACTCTACACTTTAAAGTTTAAACAGCACGATATGTTTACACTACATGTCTTTGACGAAAGTCAAAGTTAAAGTCAAACAGTGAAAAATTCAAGATTTGAATCTTGAAATAAAAAGACAACCAGCAGCTCCTTCTTCTAGTAAAGAGTACTTCTCCAATATTGAAACTGTCTCTTCTTTAGCACTACCCACATAACAAATAAACAAAACTAAGAATTTTAACCACTTTTACTTTTACTAACTATAAGAAAAACAAATGTATTTCAATTTTCAAGATTTACCTTCCGGGTCTCAAGATCTTGTATTTCCCAATAATAGAAAGGTCAACAACGGTTGACCCTTCACGCCCTGCTGGAAGAACACCACCATCATAAACAAAACTACAATGTTCCCAAAGATTCTTGAACTCTTTAATGTCTAAACTACTCGGTTGTCCACTAAGATTTGCACTTGTTAATGCCAATGCACTTCCACACCCTCGAGCAATCATCCTCATAAATTCAAAATCAGGTATCCGAACTCCAATTGTATCCAATCCAGGGTTTAATGATTTCTCAAGAATACTTGATTCCCCTAAAAAAGAAACAAACTTTTAGCCTTGGTCCAATTCACGACATGAGTCGGAACAGGTTGTACTCTGTTTGCCTGTGTTTGATATGACAGATTCTTGGGCTAACATGACATAACAGGTTCTACTGTGTTTGACATAACAGATTCTTGGGCCCATACAGGATATGACAGAACAGAACAGATTGTACTGTGTGTTTAACATGACATGAGTCGGAACAGGTTGTACTCTGTTTGCCTGTGTTTGATATGACAGATTCTTGGGCTGGCATGACATAACAGGTTCTACTGTGTTTGACATAACAGATTCTTGGGCCCATACAGGATATGACAGAACAGAACAGATTGTACTGTGTGTTTAACATGACAGATGCAGGAAATACGAACCTCTTGTTAGAACCACGGTTACGGGTCCTGGAAGGAGGTTATCAAGCAAGCCAAGAGGGAGATGGTTTGTGACAGCAAATCGCCCTATGTCGTTTATGTCACCAACACAAATGGCTAAAGGGCTAGTGTGTTTACGCCCTTTGATTTCATATATTCTATTGACTGCTTCAACAGAGCTGCATCAAGGGTCCATATAAAAGTATATGATGAAGTTCATTGAAGCAAAACGTCGAACACTTAGAATGCGAACATAAATTTAATGATTTTAGGATTTCGGAATGTACCATGCGTCACAAGCAAAACCATAGAGTGTATCAGTGGGGACAGCTATGACCTTTCCTGCTTTTAAAGCTTTGATTGCTTCATCAGCGTAAGCCTCTGTTGCGGGTCGAATGTTTCCAGACCTACTTTCGATGCTTCTTTCATCGCATCTCTCCAAACTCCATGCCATTTTTGTTATTGGTCCTTCTCGAAATCCCTTGTTCTGTTGGAGAATTTTTGAAAATTGAAGCTTTGGTACACCTGAAATGATACAAATACGTCCCAAAATTTGGGGATGAGAAAGTCAAAGGCTGTAACGAAAAAGATTTGATTTTGAAATGAATCTCGTAGAGTAAGTAAGAAAGAAAGTAACTTTTAGTGTAAAGGAAGATCACCTCGAGTAGGGTTTAAGAAGGGAAATCGAGAGGTTATATTCGTAGGGTTTAGTATATACATATATAATCTTTCTGTGTTGCAGTAGTAGCAGCGGATTGTTCGCCGCCGGCGAGGCCTTTGTTTGTCAGAAAGATAGGGAATCAGTGCTCAGAGGAAGCAGAGACACATGGATTGGACGCCAATTCCTCCATTGTTGGAACCATTTATTATAATCGACGTGATTAGTTGGATGGGTTAAAGTTAGGGAAAATACGTGCACATGTAACTTTTTTTTTTTTTTTTATACATTTAACTATTTAATCTATTAAATACGTCTCAGGTCATTGAATTTGACTCTTTTAATCAAGTGGTGGTGGAGGTTTAAATTTGAAGTTGATAGTCTTTGGACGAATTGCATTAAAGCTTGGCATAATGTCTCTTGCATTAATGGCAAGTCATTACTCAAAGCTAGTCTCCAGGAAGTGTGGCTTGTTATTTCCAAGCTAAATGAAGATATGAAACATTGGAGAATTAACTTGGAAGACTTGTTTGTAAGGCGTCTTGGAGCCGGAAATAGAACCAACTTTTGGAAGGACAAATGGTGTGACGGTGTAATGTTGAAAGATGTTTTTCCAGAACTTTATCGCATTGAAGTGCAGAAAAATTGCATGGTTAGTAACATAATTCAAAACAGAGGTCTAGATAAAATTCATGGACAGTGGTCGAGAAATCTAAGGAGAGGAAGGGAGGCAACTGCTTTATCAGATTTAAACAACAAAGTTGCTGGTGTGGTGTTGACAAGCATAGATGATTCGTGGGTTTGGAAAGGTAACGAGACGGGTGGTTTTACAGTTCAAAATTCGCGGAACTTGATGGCTACTGCAGAAGAGGTGTGACCTTGCCGTCGTATCTTTGTCCGCTCTGTGGTATTGAACAGGAAGATGTCGAGCATCTGTTTTTTAAGTGTAGTTTTGCAAAAAAAAAAAAAAAAGTTTGGAGCTGGTTCTGTAACCGGTCGATGTTATTGAATTCTGCTCCCATGAATGTTTCTGACATGTTGGGGGTGGTAAAGACACTGGTGTTGAATAAGAAAAGGAAGAGATTGCTATGGGCCCTAATATATTCGGTTTTATGGAGCATATGGAAGTCTAGAAATGCTTTAATTTTCAAAAGTTTCAGGAGCAGCCCAATGAAGACAACCGATGATATCTAGTTAATCTCTTTCAATTGGTTGAAATATAGAGGGAGGTTTAGTTCTTTAAATTGATTTGACTGGTGTAATTCTCTTGTTTCTCTTGTTTGTATGTTGTAACTTGTCTAGCGTCTCACTAGTTTGTTTTAATGTGATTCCGCCGTTCAAAAAAAATTAAATATGTTTATATATTACCATTGTTACCTGCTATAAAGAAAGTTGGAATAAACTTCTAATTGAAAAATATTAAAAAGTTAGAGTAATTTTAAAACATTTACATTATATAGGCTTTTTATGTTTTTTTATTTGCTAAGTAATATTTTATTTTTATTTTTATAAAAGATCCTCCATACTTATTGTTATATATTTAATTTATTTAATTTTATTGTTAGATACTATTTACTTAAAAAATAATATATATGCTTAAAAACAAAAGAAAAAAATTATTAGAGGCCATATAAAATATTTCACAAAACAAAAATATATTTATTAATTAAAAAGTAAAATTTAAAATTGATCAATATTTAATTAATATTTAGGAAATTATGGATATTTTAAAAATAAAGTTTTAAAAAAATAATACAAACTAATTTGAAAAATAAAATCGCTATTAAAAGTGGAGAAAATGACTTATCATGGTAATTAACTTTTCGTTTTGTTCACATTTAAGAAACTTTATTTTTCGTACACATTTAACTATTTAACTTGTTAATTTGTTCACATATTACCATTGTCACCTACTATAGTCGGTGACAATGTTAATATGTGAACACATATAACAAGTTAAATGATCAAATCTGTACAAAAATAAAGAAGTTACCTAAATGTGAACAAACAAATAAAGATGATTACCCTCCTAAGTCATTTTCCCTTAAAGTTACGTATAATGGTTTAAATGGTCTCTTATGACTATTTTTTGCATTTTAAGGGCATATACTTCTAGTTTCTGGTTTTAAAAGGGCACTTTTGGAAATATGAAGGGGTCACCCGGTGACCCCCATCCCACATAGGAATTTTCTAATTCCACGTATTATCCAATTAGATTAATTTAGTCTACGTCATTGTCACGTGTATATAGGAGTTATTGAGAGATATTGTCCATTTTAAACACCTCAACTGTGTCTTTCGAACACTTTCTTCTGTAAATTCCTCATCGAAATTTGTTGTTTAACTGTTCTTCGGTCCTACCCTTTTCTTCAAGTGTTCGTCGCTCAAATCGGCGAACTTTGTCATTTCTATGGCCGTTCTCATGAAGATTGATCTACATTTTGCTGGAATTTTTACCAGGTACCCCTCTATTACTTACTCAGATGGAACCGAGCAAAGGTTGATGATGTTGGTTTTGCTGGAATGGACAAGAACGAATTTGTGGAGTTCCTTGAAATATTCTTTGCTGAGAGATGTGTGAATGTGTACTTTTGCATGCCTGATATTGATTTTCCTGATGGATTGAGGATAATCGCCACCGACATGGATTACATGGAACTAATCGAAGTAGGGTATGCTTCTGATTGTGTAATTGATGTATATATGGACCATCTTGGTGTTAATGTATATCAATGGATTATTGAAGGGCAAGCAGAAGTTTGCAGTTCTTTAGACCAATTATCTGGTGCAAATGAAGATCATGAAGATGTTGGATTAGTGTCTAAGTCCATAACTATAATAGGTATATATTTGACCCGACCCGGCATGGTCCATTTGGGTTGCATGGCATCGGGACATTTGGATAGACCTTTTATGAGAAGAGGATATTTGTGACATACTAATATATATTATAAGTTCTAATATATTAATATGAAGTCATATTATTTAATTAGTATTGATCAAGAATTAATTTGGAATTAATTTAGTGATCAAAAGAGACTAATTAAATATATGGGAATTAATTTAGTGATCAAAAGAGACTAATCAAAAGAGACTCTTAATGCTTCAGTTCCTCAAAATCCAGCAAGTACCTGTCTACTGATTTCCTGAGAATACAAGCAGTTTGAAAATATCAGCATAAAGCTGGTGAGTTCATAAGCGGTGGTTTGTAGTGAAAATCGTTGATGAGTTCGGAAAATATTTGTATAGTTTCAAGAAAATCCGATATTTTCTTTGAAGAAAAGGGTAGCGTTATCGATTGCGTATAAAACCATGAATGTTCATTACTGAAAACTGGAGTGATATGCGAAAATACTACCTAATGTGACTAGCTAAAACTAATCATGAAGTGTAAGTATTTTATATGTGAACCCATTGCATAATCGGTTCTGTTTGAAAAACCCTGGCTTTAACCAGAATACGTAGTGTGTATCAGTTCTATTTAGTAAAAGTAGAACTGTTGAAGAGTGTTAAGCTGTAAACTAACGGTGATTTATACATATTGTGAGTCGTATAACCATGCTTGATATGACTAGAGACCTTTCCAACGTTCTTCAGGCGTCGAGTTAAATGACATTTGTACATCTCAGGCGTGCCCGCCTAACTGTAGCTAGCAGTCCAGATGTGGGATTGTCAGTCCCAAATAGATCTATTCACAAATCTCACGCTCTCCCACCAGGAGACTCTGGTTATACAGTGGTAGGATTTATCCCTGTACACCTAAGGGTACAGTAGTGAAGTAGCGCCTCACAGTATCGTACAATCTAGTTTACATGTAGTGTAGTAGCGTTCTACCGTAGTGAAATCCGTATGTATACCGTATATAGTGATAATTTCAGTTATGAATACCATGATAAAGTAGTGATGTAAACTGTAAACGGTTTCTGTTTCAGCACATATGTTTAGAAGTGAAAGTTTCTATACTTGATATGTTTTAGAAAAATCCCAAACTATACCGATTTTAGTTTGCATGCATAATGTGGTGAATAGCGAATCCGGAAAACTATGCAATTTTAGTGAAAACGTCCCTTATGCCCAACACAGTAAAAAAAAAGCTAAAGTATGAGAATTGCATGAATTTTGAAAACATTTATGTTTAGCTTGTATCCCCCCTTGAAAACATTGAAAATATGGAAAAATGTAGGGGTATGAACTCACAGTCGTTGCGTGAAATCGTTGACTGAAATGAAGATCCTTGAGGTGTTGCACGTGACACTTAACGAAATC